ACATTAAACTTGAAGTCTGCAGTGGCCTGAAGTAGAAGATGAAAGTTAAAGAAGAATGAAAGATGAATACTTCAAAGCAGTTCAAGACACAAGTAGCAAAAGTCAAGGAGAAGTTGAGATGCAGCTAGCAAAAGACATCAAGGTTAATAAGAAATAATTGCAAACATAGTATTACTGTAAAGAAGATTAAAGGAAAGGATGAGTCCCATAATGCCATAAGGAGAGAAATGCCATAAGGAGAGAAATGTAAGCAAAAGAAATTTAAAACCTATGCACCAGTCATTAATGGCATGTAGTTGGTTAACTCAGTCATCACAGCAATGACAAGAAAAAGAAAGGGCTTAGATAAGACTTTGTCTATGGCGAATCTATTTTATAATTTTTGATAAAAATGAGATTGTTCTAATCATCTTATGAACTCTGCCCTGAATATTCACAGAATTGTTTGAAGGGGTCTCAGAATTGTTAGTCATCACTTTTGAGAAACTGTAGAGAACAAGCAGGTACCAGATGGCCTTAAAAAAACAAAGCAAATTAAAGGGTTTATTTAAAAAAGGGACCTTCAAAAAAGTGGGTGAAAAAGGGTCAGAAAATGAAACTCTTGTCATTCCACCTTCAATTTCTGGAAAATACAGGCACAGGTAATTCAGCATAGTATGTCTAAATGTGTGGAAGATACCAAAGACAATCAAACCAAAATCATTTATGTGTATGAAGTAAATCCTCTGCTCTGTTCAACAGTGTTCTGGCATTCTAAACACTGAGAATGGAAAAATCTTATAGCCTAATTCAGTGGGGTAATAAAGTGATCAGAGATCTCAAAATCATGGTATAAGATTAAAAGAACAGGGTAAAAATATGGTAATAAACATATCATTGGGACGAAATACAGAGTGGGGTGACAATAGTTTCCAATATGGGAAAGACTACTGATCAGAGAAAAAGAGTAATTTACTCTTCATGTTTTTGGTGAATAGGATAAACCATAATTTATAAGCTTAAATTGCAGTAAGTTCAACTTGTTTCAGGTACTGGAAAACTCAAATTAGTCTAGTAAAACCCACTGATACAGATCAGTGTGGAGTTTCTACCACTGACACACCCCACCAATGGTGATTCTAGAAGTAGATTTGGATTGACATCTGCCAGCAGTGACAAGGAATATCTGGCTTTGCCTGTGGGCAGTGGGATACCTAGGTGTTCCCTTGGGATTCCCTTCAACATAAGTTTATTCAAATATAACAACACAGCCCTTGCAGTTAAAATAGTTTCAAAAAAGGAACTCCCTACTTAATTACCTTAAGTGAACATATCCTTCATTTGCAGGAAGTGAGTAAAGCACTTTTGTGACACAGTGCTCAGGGCATAAATTTCCTTCAGTTTTCTAATAATTTCTAATAATATCTCTTTTCTTCCATCAGTAACCTATGCATACAAACTTTTCTTCCAATATATAACTTCATGCATATGTTACATAATCCCAACACTCTTTCATATAACACAGAGATGTGTACACAAAATACATATTTAAATGTATACTCCCTCTTTTATTCTCTTTCCATCCTCTTCCTTGAGCAACAACCATATTACTCACACCAATATTATAACTTGCAAGTATATTACTAGCTACACCATCTTAATTGGTATCTTCTTGTAGGATGCATCAGCTACTTAGAGGGGAAGACACCTGAAAAGTTATTATTCTAAATTAGTAAGTCTTAATATTGAAATATTTGTTACCAAAAATTTTCAAAATAGATCATATTTTGGAATCAAGAATAAAGAGGTTTTTTTGTTAATAACAACAATGCTTCTTGACTGGACAATGATGAAGAGCTATGAGGCAGAGTTTCTAAACTCTCATTTCAAAATTATGTTCCTGTTACAATCAGTATTATTTTGTTAGCACTGCTGCAGTAACAGATTCCCTGTCATATCTTAAAGATGCTATTGTTAAACACATCAGTATGTAACAATACAGTTACATTTTCTGTAAGAAATGTATGTACTTTTAAAATAAAGAATATTTCTCATGGTGCATAGATTTAATCTTTGAAGAGAAGTGAAATCATTGAGGAAAAGAAAAAAAAAACTTGTTAGTTTTGTATCTTCAAAATGCCATTTCAATCAAGTATCATTGTGTGCTTGAATAAATGGAATTACCAACTTGTTTAAAGTCCTTGATCAGAATGAGGCTCTTAAACCAATTATGTGGAGATCAGAGTGGTTAAAATTATAAGGAATACATTTAGAATTATTAAAGACTTCAAATAGCTTGGTTCAGGCAAAATTACATATAATTGATCATTACTATGTGTTGTCAGTAGAAACTGCAGTGATAGGTGTTGAAGATCACTTTTTAGACAAATTGCAGTGAAACTTCTGTAAAACTCAAACCATAAGAGATTTCCCCTTTCTAAGGATTTTTACTGAATGCAAATCTTAGCCACTTTTATTCCTGTTCTCTAAGTATAGAAAGATGAACAATAACTTAAAAGTACTAACTAATATTATCTGGACGAAATTGTCAAGCACAGGTGAAGCAAACCAGAACAAAAGTAGATCACCATCACTGGGCAAGTGAAAACACAAATTCAGGAATTGGGATGCTGTTAAAAAAGTATAAATAAGTAATTCTTTAAAAAAATAAACCCAAAACCCCAACCCCAAAACCCCAAACCCCCAGCTTTATAGAGAAATTTCTTTGCCAAAGGGCAAAGCAATTTGTAGGAAATTAACGTTAAGACTGACAAATACAAACTGGATTGTCAGAGAATGATTCTGTAAAGCACTGACTCTATAACCCACCCTGAGAACAACATGACTGCTTTATTGATTCTTATTTAGCCTCTGTGCAGTCCCTCTATCCATTTGCTTTGGATTTTCTGATTCATTTATTATAGAATATAATATCATTCTGGATAGGTAGCATTTTTAGAGTCAGGCACATAAATCCTAATCTGGCAATCATCCTCTCTGTCATACGAGTGACAGGATTTTCATTGATTTTAGTGATAGAAGTTTAGGAACAAAATGGCATCTATTATGTACTGTATGATGTAGGTTATTTGATCTAATTAATACTCTACTATGTGTCTGTAGTTACAGTTTATGACCAAAATCAAAACTTGCTAAAATCAGTGGCAATTTCATAATCACTTCTCTTTTTGCACGAAGTGGCATTTTTCTGCCATCAGAGAATCTCTTGATGGACTTGACCGTAGTACCAAGTCTGAAAGTAACTCATATTTGACCACAGAAAATACTTTCAGCAACTACACTGAGAGTGTTGTGTACTCGATACACTTGGCTACCTCGCAGTGGGTTAATCTTGGCTAACAGCCAACATTCACCCAGCTGCTCACAGCCCCTCTCCCCAGCAGGACAAGTATGGGAAGAACTGGAGTGAGAGAGCTCATGGGTTAATATAAAATCAGGAATACTGTTTATCGATTGCTGTTGCAGACAAAACAAACTTGATTGGAAGAAGATTTATTGCCAATTAAAATAAAAATGTAACAGCTAGTTTGAGTAGTGCTAAAGGCGAAGACACACGTTAAAACAACTTTTCTCCCTTCATTTCCCAGGCTCCTCTTCATTCCAGACCCCTTTCTCCCTGACCAGCACAGGGAGAATTGAGGGCACGTACAGTCAGCATGTAACAATTTCTCTTCACTGCTCGTTCCTTCTTACACTTTTCCTCTGCTCTGCCATAGCTTTCCCATCGGCTGCAGTTCTTCAAGAAAATGAGCTCTGGTCTGGGCTTGCCACAGTTTCCCTGGGTATGTCCCTTTGCTCTGGCATGTCTTCCAGGGTCTGAAGTGCTCTGCCATGGAGAGCACCCTCTCATCCCTCTCTGGCCCCGCCGTTCCCTGCTGTTTCTCACCCTTTCTGTCCCCACCTCCTCTCTCGCACAGCGTTTTCTGCCCTTTCTCCGCGATGCTCTCACGGAGGCACCGCCAGCTTTGCCGAACGCTTAGCTGCGGCCGCAGTGTGTCCGCTGTGGAGCTGCCCGGAGCCAGCTGTTCCCAAAACGGGAGAGTCCCACACCTCTTCTCACAAAGGCCACCCCGCAGCCTCTGCCCCACTCCCTCTGCCGAAACCTTGCAGCACGCAGCTAATACAAACCTAAAAAGCAGAGCGTTACTTAAGACTAGGGAATAACGCTAACTGAAAATTAGATTAAAGAGGTCAACAGGACGGCAAATAGAACTTAAACATGGAGGCAGGAATGCTGGATAGGTAATTGAACTATTCCTGCAACTTGCTCAATTCTAAATTAAATTTAACCAATTCGGGAAAGCAATCAGATGTCATTAAAGACTTGGAGTTAACCCACTGTTGCTTTTTAAAAAGACAAAAGTCAGAAAGAGAGGGAAGTGTGCACGATCCTTACAAAAGGGATAGCACGGGCAGGCGGCATCACAATGCGCTTCCAGCAGCGCTCAGAGCGCCCCGCGAGCTCGTGTCTCTCCTTGTCCCGAAGGCGCGGGAAGTTCTATCTGGACGTGACTGCGAGTTTTGAAGGATCGTGTCCGCCTAGGGGTTTTCGCCGGTCCAACTCGGGGTGCGAGGAGCCAACGAAGGCGCAGCGAAGTTCCAGCCGCATCCACCCCCACCTGGAGGAGGCGGCGGCACCGCGCGGCCGCTGCGGGGCCGGGAGGGGCTCGGCGGGGGTGTGCCGGGGCGGACGGACGGACGGGCGGCCGCAGACGGCGGCGCGTGCGGGGAGGGAGCGGGCGCGGGGCCGCCTTTCCGGCCGCGGCGAGGAGCGCGGGTGCGGGGCTCGCAGCAAGGTGACGGGCTGGGCAGCCTTCCCTTCCCCTTCCCCCCGCCGCTTTCAGGTGGGCGAGGGGGTCCGCCGCGGGCGGCTGTCCCGTCCCCCGCCGGCAGCCCCCGGCCGGGGTTCGGCTCCGCTGTGGGTAACCCCCCTGCCCGTGTTTCCTCTCGCCCAGATGCTCACGGCAGCGGCAGCCGTGGTGTGCGTGTGTGCGGCAGCCTGGTGCAGCCCGGCGGCGGCGGCGGCGGCCGGGGGCAGACCGGACAGCGGCAATTTTCTGGACGATAAACAATGGCTCACGACCATCTCCCAGTACGACAAGGAGGTCGGGCAGTGGAACAAATTCCGAGACGTAAGTTCAGCCCTTCCACCCTGCCAGCCGGCAGCCGCGCCCAGCCCGCTCCCGCTGGTTCCGCTCGTGCAGGGTGTAGGGCATCCCTTGGGGAGCGGGGGCGAGGGTACAGCCTCAACTTTCCCCCTTCTCCCCGAATTTTAGTTCTTGAGTAATTGCCTGCGGCGCCTGGGCGAGAAGGATGGGGGTCCCGCCGGGCAGTTCCCGGTGCGCTCCGCCGCGGAGCGGCCAGGACCGCCCGGCGTGCCCCGGGGCCGTGAGGGGCGCCCGGCCCGCACCCTGGGGGTCCTTGGGGGCCGGGCCGCGGGAGCCGCTTCCCGCCCTGCGGAGCGCCGGGCAGTGCAGGGGGCGAGCCGCGTTCGTCCTCCCTGCTCCCGTTTCCCGCCCCGCTTCGGGAAGGGATGCGGTGGGGGCGCGGGGCCGGGGCGGGGGCTCGCCCCGCCGCCGCTCCGCCAGTGCCGCCCGGGACAGAGCCCCCTCCCTCCCCGGGCACCTGGCAGCGGCGCCGGCCGGCACCGCCGCGTCTCGCCGTGCCCTGTCATTAGTGCCGGCAGGCAGGGCGGGGGACAAGGGGCAGCGCTCACGGCCGGGGCTGGCGCTGTCAGGGCTGCGGTGCGCGGTGTCCGGAGCGCCGTGCCTGGAGCCCGGGAGCAGCAGCCCCAGCCTGACCCGAATCTCGTCAGTTACGAAACCTGCCGCTGTAAGGTGGCTCTGTCCTCAGCGTGCTTCGCCTGGGCGCCTAGTTCGGGCTGTACTTGCTGCAAGTTGAGTAAAACGCAACCTATTTTCAAAACCAGTTCACATTTCTTTCAGTGGAACAGATTGTCTTTGAGCATCCAGTATTCTGCGTCCCTTGGTGTCACTTTTAAAAATCCGAATTCCAACCACGCAAAATAATTTTGTCTTTTCTTTACTGTTTAATGTACTGGATGTTGATTCGGTGTAAAGCATTGATTTGGTTTGCAACTTCAGAGGCAACAGGTTTCTTCTTGTTCTACAGCCTACTGGTGACTGCGGTTTGCTGTAGCAAACTGAAGTAAATGTCTCCACGAAGTCTCTTATTTTTCTGAAACGTGGAGTGTCTTGTGATGCATGTATTTTGTAGCTTTATGTCTATGGGATGCAAACTTGACTATTTATCTTAAGCAACTGAAAAAGAGCTACTAGAGTTGTGGGGAAACTTATTTTCACAATAGTTTTTATTAAACAGCATAGTTTTGGTGTTTGAGAGCACTTCCAGTCAGTAGTCAGATATTTTTGTTTGCCTTGAATATCTTAAAAAAATAGCTCAGGTTCATGTGAAAAATACCAGTTCAGTATGCTGTGCACTGGGACCTGTGATTTTTTGGGAAAAAAAAAAAAAAACAGCAAAAATCTGGTGCTGTAGAAATGTTCTAGGATTAAAGGCTGCTGCTAGAAAAGTCCAAAATACATACATCAGTTATGTTTTGTAATTGGGCAAAGTCATTTATGTAAGGACTAACCTGGAAGGCTGAGGAAGCTAAGTGCTCTCTAATGCCCGTCTCCTGGGTGCCCACTGACGTGCACTGTAATATTGGATATTAGCCAGATAATTTATTCTGTGACAAGTAGGTGTCCCCAAGGGTTTTAAGAGTGACTGCTTTGAGGAATACTGCATACTGATTCTTCTGAGGCAATTTGCAAATATGCTGGTTTATTTTTACACTGTGTAAATTTTATAAGGCTGGTGCTTCAGGAAGTGTATGCTTTTATTTCTTGTGCAGCATGCTTATGTCCTATTGATTGGTACCCAGTCTGGAATATTCATTTAATATTACAAGGTTCTCCCTATAAAGCATGGGTAGTTTTCAGTAATTCATAACATGTAACTGTGAACCCCCCTTCAAAATTGTGTTAATCTACCTGTACAAGAATGCATTAGAAAAATGTCTTGTAAGAACACTTATCAAATATCATACTTAAACATAACATGGTGGAGAAGTTTTACCATCCTGCATTTTATATCATTAGTAAATTTATTTGTGTGACTGTAATTTGTCGGTTTTGAAATGTGATTAGCAATGTGATTAGTGATTCCAAAGTGGCCTTCTGTTAAGGAACAGGACAGCAGCATTTGAAACATGTAGGGGTAACTGTCTTGCAGAGTTAAAATCAAGGTATGCACGGCCAGTGTTTGTAATTTAATTCTCTGGTCAGAGTAGGATATTTTTTGCAGGCTCTCAATACCCTACAGATGTAAGGGTGAGATGGAATTCTGGTGTGAAAAGAAGTATTTAAAGGCTTAAGTTAAGACTTAACTGACAGGACTGATTAATGTGAAAGATAATGACCCTGACTTCTGGCTCATTGGCTCAGTTTCTTGAGAGTTTTAGATCACAGTGAGAAAGAACACAGTCATTCAGAAAGGAACCCTTACAGAACCTGCTAAACCAGGGTATGATATTTTATTTATAGAAAGCCAAAAGCCAAGCCACCCCCAAACCTAGCTCCCTTAACATCCTTTAAAATGTCATTTTTTGTCACTAAGTGTTATTAATGTGAGATTACTAGCTAAGATCTTTTCAGTACTTTGTAGAGGCAGAACTGTAGCTGACGCTTCATTTCTTTTGAAAGGTCTTGATCATTCTGACAAATATGTTGAAAATAATGCAGTAGGTGTAGGCAAGAACTGTGCCTTAACATGTGACTGTGGGAAACTAGTGACTACCTACCTTCCCACCTCTTTTTTCTTGAGCAAAAATTGAGAATGGTCTTGTTTCTAAATAGGAGACTTTCCCTCTTAAAGATGGGGGAGATGGGATGTGTCAAATACCAACTCCCTTAAGTTGTATGTGCAAGTCAAACCATTTTGGGTTCTATATGAGGATACATTTATTTTTTGCTTGAAGCATTGGGGAGGAAGAGTTTTCTACCCCATCTTAGTGCTGCTGCAGTCCAGTAGCTGAGTAGCTGCAACTATTCACATCTGTCAGTAAAATAAGTTGCAGGGTTGATGTGTTCATTAAGGTTTTCCAAGCTGCCTGGTTAGGCTGCTTCAGCAGCCGTGGTGTCAGGATGCTGGGAGGTTCTAGCCCATGGGAATGTATGCTCGGTTTATTTCAGGCTTGGGAACTGATGCTTTTCAGTAGATGCTGTTAGGAGTATCTTCTTCACTCATATTTTGTTATGCTGATAATGCTTTGTGGCAATGGCTTTATCTATGATGATAGCACTAGACATTTGAGAAATACGTATACATGTACTGCAGTTTGTCTGAAATAAAGGTTATTACTTTTGAAAAATGTGATCAAGAAATGGCATTACATTTATGCTCTCCTATTTTGAACATCCTAAATCTTATCTAGCAGACTTTCATTATTCATAATACTGTAAATCTGTGGAGAAAAAGAGAGTATTGGAAAATAGCAATTATTTTTCTCTTTCTGATTACTTTCCAAATAGTGGTGGTGTTTTTAATCCTAGAGAAAAACACAGTGGCTTTGTCATTTAAATAGTTTTGTCTTTTTATATCTTTGCAGTCAACTGACTCTAAAGTCAACTGGACAAAATTGCATACAACCGTAGTTGTCTGTTGTATCACTATCTGAAAATATTTCAGGCTTTTTTTCAGAAATTATAATTTTAATTTCTTTAAAGTACAATGAAGAAAGATTCTATAGAGTAACTCATTTTAGTAATTGATATTTGTAAGGTGAATTGTGCATTTGTGTTCATTAAAAAGACTGTATTTTATATGGTAAATTTTATTTGCTGCTGGGAGAGATGTTGGGTATTAACTTGCTTGTTAGTGATATATACCTTTTCAGAGGTCAAAATTTAAGTGATTGCTGTATTTTCAAATTTAAGTTGATAAATGAACTCCACTACTTAACTGTGTCGTAGTATTGCTATGAAATAGTAGGGTTGGTTGATCATTGTAACCAGCTGCATCATAGTATGGTGTTAACTATCATCCCACCATCGTAATGCAGTTATCAAGGGTGCAGAAAGTAGAAGAAAATGGAACAGACCACAAAACCAATCAGCTAGGAAGAGAAAGTTTGCAGTGGCAATACTCCTTTTTACTCTGCTTTGTTGTGAGGTGTTCTCACATTGACCATTGAATGTATTGCCTTCTGCATGTGGTGAGTTTGGGCAGTTTGTGTTGGCGTCCCAGAGGAGTCTTTTGGAAGTATTTAAAGAGTATGTTTTTTCAACATTAGTGAAAACTAAACCTCTGTGTTTGGAAAGGAGATAAATTGACTATTAGGTCTCCATAGCAATTGAGTAACAGCCAGCATTAATTATTCCCTTGTCTGTTTTGGAGGTTGAAGGCTTCTCAAAAACAAACACTGCCCCTCGGTTAAGCTCCATGCAAGCTGTGCATTGCTGTTGTGAGCAGAGCATCTCTGTGTGGGTCACAGCTACATCTTTGTACAACTGAGCAAGCCAAAGGCTCTTTTAAAAAAGGGATTAATCACAAGTGCTTTGTACTTCATTGTGGGATTACCATGTAAATATTTGGAAGGTTTTCATGCTTCCAGTGTGGAGTACCAGTAACTTTACTTGAGGAGGAGGAGGACTTCTGTTCAAAAAGATTTTTGCAATGGACAAGAAGCCCTCAAAGTTTATGGAGGATCCTTACTATTTTAGAGGAAGTCGGTATTTAGGATTGGATAGTGCAGCACTCATGGTCTTTAGCTCATGTGAACTCATTAGCTGTGAAAAAAGGTTTGGTGGTCTTATTTCTTCAGTACTTTTTATGGTTCATGGTAAAAAATCTTATTATTGGGTACAGCAGCTCTTTTGCAACGTACATATGTCATGATCATGACGTCAGGAGAAAATGGAATTGAAAACATGAAAGATGAGCTGCTTTTTTATGTTGCCTTAAACCTACGTTAAACCAAGATCTTGTAATAATGTAAAGTTACTTTTGCAAATAGGGCTTTGAATCTTTTCCACATGCCAGACTGTTAGCTGAAACTGGCACTTCTAAAGTAGTGTCAGTCCCTTTTTTCCATTACTTACTTTGTATG